AATTAGTTATAGTTTTTTAAATGTTAAAGAAAAAAACACACATGGAACTTTTATCCATTTTTATGAACTAATCAGTGATGACAAACAAAACATGCAAGGATTGGTCAGAAAGTTACTTTTTCATTACCGTTGTAACTGTGAGTGATTGCTAAACAAGGACTGTGTACATTTTGTTCTAGTGGTCTTGAAACATTTCTGAAATATAACTTATTAGTGCTTGGTGAGAAATCAGGGAAATAAATGTTCAGGATGTCTGTGAGGTAAGAGTATTATCTTCAGTGTACTTTTTTCTGAATGCTTGCAAAGATTCTAGACCCATAAAGCACAAACATTTCCTCCTTATAGTAAAGGAAAGCTTTTTTTCTGAAGTTGCATGACCTGCTGGAAGGTTCAAAGGATAACCTGGGACAGATGACACTAGTTTGTGACTGTTGAAATCTTTTGGCAGTTAAATTGGAAATGAATTATTTTTGTAATAAACCATTTGACCCTTCAAAACATGATGTGAAAGAGGAAACTCCATTGCTTGTGAGTCACTTCAGTAACTTTTTTTAGAAGTCACAAAACGGATACAAAAACAATTTCATTATTGCATTTTCAATCTGTGCTTCCTGCATTTCTCGCCTTTATTTAAAATCTAGTGTTGTGTAAAAACTGTATCCCTACATCACACAGACTCACAGTCCTTGCTGGGCTTCAGTCTTGATAGATTTTAGATTTGAAGAACCTAAAATGTGGTTTTGTCATTAATTAAAGGAGACTATAGCAGTATGGCTAAGACTGTGGGGTGAAGTGTTGGAGGTCTCAAATATCCTCTCTCCCAGAAGCCCTTTGAGTCCTATGAGTTTACACACCCTAGCTCTGCATCCTATCTTGGTGTAACGGCTTGGTAGTTCTACTGCCACCACCTATCTTCTGGGGTAGACATCTTTACCTGTTGCCATACCCCCTACGTTCTGTGAGACAAATAGGGCCTCCACAGCCTGTGCACCCCACTGACAAATAAAAGGAGGGGAAATAGAAATAATTTATTTAGACCTATAATGTTGAGGCATGAGGTTAGGGAAATCAGTGTTCCTCCCCCTGTGGAGCAATAGCCCCATCTCACACAAGATAAATAGAATCAAACGTTATTTTTTAAAGAAAAAAATTAAAAGAGAGAATATAAAAATTCCTTTTTAACTGCAGGTAGTCCCAAGCAAAACTATCAGTGGTAGAAAAAATAAAAATACAGAGCTGTTCACACAGCATCTTAAAAGAACCTCCAATGAAATATATACAGGCAAAGACAAGACTGAGCAAACCACAAGGTAATGCTGGCTTGAGCATTACCTAAAGAGACAGTCTGATGCAAAATGGATCCACGTTGCATAAAAAGACACATTGACTGAGTTTACATAGAGTCAGTGGATTCCAGAGACAATAACAGTTAAGTGGCACAAACATTCAAAATAAAAAGCAATTTGTCACAATATTGCTAACTAAACCGTTGCTTACTCTTTGGAGAAAAATAGATCGCTGCCACAAATGTTTCTGGTCTGCTTCCATGGATTTTCCAGATATTTGCACATTATAATCTTAAATCAGAGGTTTAGGAAAGCAGTTGTTACTTCTTGCTTTTGCCTAGCCTCAGTACCCAACAGCTACCTTCTTTTAAAAGGACCAAAGTCTTTTCTATCTCTCTAAAGAAACAGGAGGAGATGGAGGGAGTCTGCTGCATGCTGAAGATCATGTTGACTGCAAACGTCTGCTGTCCGCCTGGCATGCAGCTGACAGTCTGTGAAAGCAGACTGGAATGGTTTCGCAATGAAAACCTAGTGTGTTTAGACAGCATAATATTTTGCATCATAATTAAAATATGCAAGTGAGCAGTTAATTGATTACCTTGTATCATTCTGCATTTGGGGACTAAATGCTATACAGTGAGTCCAGATATTCTCAAACCTAGATCCATTAACGTAAAGACTTTGATGTGTAAAAACTGTCCAGGCCTACCATCAAAGCAATCCCTGTACAGAAGATGCACAAGAACAGTGACAACTGCTTTTATAGATTGCTTTTAAAGCAATCCAAAGGTTTTTGACCAGGCCAACCTCTTTTCTACTGTCTACTCCTTTTCTCCAAGATCCTATGTGTTTTAATAAATACTGTGGAGGATCTTTGAGAACTTTTTTTCTTAAGGAAAAAAATCCTCCTTGAATTATTTTCAAAACAATGGCTGTCCTTTGTGGAACTGTAAACTAAATTGAGAAAAATGGAAGGCATTGATTCTTCCCATAGTAGGATGATACTTACTTCAGCTGGAGCATTCCTGTTGCTGACTGAATACAGTAAAAGAGACTTGGGTTTATCTGAGCTGGTAAATCTGTGTCTGGATTCTACTACTTTCGATTAAAGGTAGGCTTTCAAATGATTGCTGTTCCTTGGAAGGAAATAGTAGCTTAATTGTGATCTCTGATACTTAAGAAAGGAATTTCTTATAGCAGGCAACATTCAGTCATATGAATACTACTATAACTCCGATATATATAGAATATTGAATATGAAATATGGCACAGTTCACAAAGAAGTAAACTAAGTCCAGGTACTATATGTATACACATTCCTAAGCATCGGAATGGCACTATGTTCCTCCAAAAATATGTATGTGCAAAAGAAGCAGAAAACAAAATGTTCACACACAAAAAAAACAAGGTATATGTTCTGTCTATATTTTCAATCAAATGTTGTCCACAATTTGAATCAAAACATTGTTCCTTAGCTGGCTTTTATTTTCATAATTCTGTTTGGAGGAAACAAGATGGATATTTGCCCTGGATTTGTAGTGTTTCAGTTAGTTGTAGATCACTCTGATATAAACGATATATAATGTTCCTAGGCCCTAAGGCCAAAACCAGGACAATTTGAAAAAGAAAAGTGATTTTAACATTTTTATGCATAATAGCAAGCCAACACTGTTGCTATGTACACAGAAGAACTTTATCTTCACAAAGGAGTCTTCCAATTTCCAGAATAGCAATGTCTTGTATTTCTTATTGTGTTGATTTAATATATGAACATAGAAGTATGCACAATGAAAACATACTGATACAATAGCACAGGAAAAGCATTATCTTGTGCAATTCTAATTTATGTCATATAAACTAGGGATTCAGCAAAAATATTTGGGATTTATTGTATATAATTAGCTTTTCTCCATATAAAGCTTTTATAAGTACTTTCTCACATTTGTGTATTTTGTTGCATCCTCTTGATTGAAGCAATGAATAGCTCTATGAGTTACATATCTACATGCGTATCATACTTTTCTGCCAAGTAAGCATATGTGATTCTCCTCTTTTCCCTGCTTTAAATTGAAGTGAGACAGCTCTCAGGCCAGGGAAATAGGGAGTCAGTTATATGAATAAAATCCAGTGTTCAAAAATTGTTGAATAAAACTTAGTTCAGCTCGGCTCTAGGAAAATAACAGGGTGTTTTGGATCATTCTGTCTAAAGCCCATAAGTGACAAACTTTGTGCTGGTCTGGAAAACAAATAAACTAAACTTTGGTCTGTAAAAAGCAGTTTATGGTGAAATAGAGTTTCCCAGGAAAAAAAGGAAGCAAATCACAAATGCAGAATTCAAAATGAAATACTCTAACTGAGCTGTATAACTGTACTAATTATCTGTTTGAATAAGTCTTGGGATTCAGTACATATTTGCAGTTCCCTGCAGTAATGATGGCTGAAGATGAAACATTTGGTTTTTCTGCCTGGATGTTCTTAAGCAGGCCCTCCTTGCTTTTTTTCTTCTTTTTTTTAAAGACTCATTGCAATTGTTTAAATGTCAGGTGTATTTATTTGCACATCACTATCCTGTTCCTTCCTATTAAAATGTTATATTTTAATTACCTATGGGATATTTTTAGTAGGTATGAATCTTCTTAGTGTCTATTTAAATGTTTTGTGTTGAAAAGGGAAGTATTGCTCATGTTACTTAGGTCCTCCAAGGCTGGTGCCTCACCTCTTGTGTTCTCATTTCAGAGCCCTCCAAGAGCTCTTCTGTTGATTCATTTAACTTCCAGCTCATTTGAGGTGGAGGAGAAAACGTTGCCTATTAACAATAGAGCTATGAAGTTTCCTATCAGCAGTAATTATTGCTTTGTCCTGTTCCACGAATGTTTAACACTTGTTTCTCCTTGCTTGAGATGGCTTGATTTCATCACTATTTCACCATGCCTTTTAAATGGGGTGGCTATTTTCCCTCTCTTGTTACAAGAACAAACAGCATGAGGCAATAATGAGACCTAGGTTGGGTAGGTGACAATTTTTCTGCTGCCCCACTCCATTGTTCATTTGGAGGGAACTCTGGTTAGCTTACATGTAGTACTGAACGTTCCAAAGACAATAATTGTGCCCACACTTAAAAGACACTGCAAAACTGTTTCTGAGATTTTGAGTTCTAAAATGTCATTGTGTTTGAAAAATGATAACAGCTGAACTGATGAAATGAAAATTGTTGGATACCAAATGCTTGAATAAATCTTAATATATGCAACGACCTCTAAGCCTTCTTTACTTTTTTGAAGCCTGTCTTATTGTCTTAATAGTAATTCCCTGAAATACATTTTACAAAAAACCAACTGTGTATCTGTAAAATAAAAAGTTTAGTGATCTTCCAATTAGCAAAAAATTATATTCAAGAAAAAAACTGAATATTTTATGCAAGGTAATAATTGATAACATTTCTCTGGGTGAAATATAATTGTATGTCTTTTACTGATAAGATTTATACCCAAGCATCAAAATTGTTTCAAAATTTTATATTATTAAGCTTTAGAATCATGTGACATTTCCTTCAATTAAAAAAAAAGCTCTGAAGAATAAGCATAGTGACAGATCATTCTGTAATAGTTAATGGCAGTCAGTTGTGCAGAAAATTGATAAAGTTGGATTTTGATTTGTGTTGGGAAGTGTTATTTTATTTTTGATAGAAAGTAACCTGAACTTTTTTATTTCTAGAAAAGCTGATTGCTTATCAAAGAGAATTTCATGCTTTGAAGGAACGCCTTCGCATAGCTGAACACAGAACCCTGCAACGTTCTTCTGAATTAAATACCATCTTGGAGCAATTCAGACGGGCAGTGGCAGAAACAAATGGAAGTAAGGATGCATTGAGCAGTGTTTCAGGTACAGACTGATGAATCTGAAGATTATGGGCCTGCTATTCTCACTGGGTCTCTCTTGCTTTCCATAAGTCATAGTAAACAAAACCCCTCTTAGGTTATTATTTATCTCCTTCAGATGCAATTGAACTGAAAATATTAGTTTTATTTATTATTTTTATATTTCCTGTCACTTATCTCTCTGTACCAGGAGTTCTCAAGTTGCAGGATAATTTGAGGAAGTTTATTCTAACTCTGCTTGGACATGGATAGCTTCTTTTGAGCTGTTGGCTCTCGCATGGGATTCAGTAAAGATTAATGTTAGGCACATATTCACTAAACCTATTCAGACTCTTCCCCTACTCATACATGCACACACCTCCTTTTCTCTACACTCTCTGCATTCTCCTCCATACACAAATGAGAGATTTGGGGCTTATTTACTTGCTGATCACAGCAACAGCAGCTATCCTGGTAGTAAACTTCTTATGTTGCACTGGTTGCACTGAAAGAAGGTAGAGGAGCTCATAAGTTTAATTCATATCTCAACCATCTGTTTGCCCTTTCCACCCACAAGATGTTGGAAGATAGGATCACCAGAAAACCAGATGATCACTAGATGATAGCAAAGTGATCAGAAAACTCTTAACACCTTGCAACCATCCAGTGTTTTTTTGGGGGCGGGGGGTTGCAGCCCAAACTCCAGGAGAGGAGAGAGAAGCAGAGCAGAGAAAAAAGATAACAACAGACACACACACCCCGAGGGTGCAGGAGGATCAAGGGCAAGCTTTCCAAAATCTGGCTGTTTTGACAGAATTCCAGATATTTGGCCACCTTAAATGGAAATGTTGCTTCCATTCTCAAAGTGGTTGAATAATATGCTGTATAAGGGGTTGCTTCCATTATTTTTGCATCATTTGACTGTCTAATTAGAAGGTTTTTACTATTTGATGTTCTATATCTTGCATTTGATCCAGTGCACTAAGCTATAATGTAAATTTTGTTAAGAGATATGCAGCTATTTGCATCCTAAAAGGAAAGGGTGCTTTGGAAGGGATGGGGTGTGCTTGCTGATACCTGTCAGCCCTTCCTTAAAGAAGCTGCCCCATTTCTTGGGCTTGCCAGATAGATGCATAGTCCCAAGAAGATATTCATTTGAATAAAGGAGGCATTAAGGAGGTTGGAAGAGCATATGAGGATCTTGTTGCAATCTCCTTAATTCAAATGCATACAGACTTACTTACAAACTTTCGAGTTGCGAACTTTCGCTGATACAATCAAGATGGACCTGGAAGTCAGAACCGGAAGTCGGGAAAAGGTGGGAAAGTGTTAGTTTCCAGCATACCACAAACCTAACCCTTTCCGCCTTCTCCCAACTTCCAATCCCACCTTTCAGTCCTGCCTTCTCACATGTTTAGTTGTGTGTGGTGTGTGGCAACTGCAAATGTCTGCAATTAAGCACAAGAGTGATAATGGGGAGGCGGTAGTGCGAAGAAGCACCAATCCATTACAATGTTAACAAAAATGGAGATATTGAAGAAAATAGAGGGGAGGGGGTTCCGGTGAGGGAAAAAATGGAGGTAGGACGTGCTCTGCTCTAGCTCTGGAGCCAGAGCTTGCAAAAGTGGTGTTTTTTCCATCTCTGAGGACAGCTTTGGTGACAGGAGGCACTTTTCAGGAGAAGAAAACTGCCAACGAACTGCTGTCTGTCCTTTCGGACAGCCGGGAGGTACAAAAGAGGAAACAAGGCTTCATTTTGTTTTTGAGTGTCTCGGATGGCTCGGAAGCGAGAGTACCATAAAGTAGGACCCGCAGCTGAAGCCTTTAGGCAAATAAAAGGCACAACTACTGAACCCTCATCTCCATAAGGAATTACAAACAACATAACAACGGAAGAGACTTTCAAGCGGTGTAAAAGGACTAAGACTCTTGATGAGCTCTTTATTATTTCAAGACTGAAACGAGAAGGGGATATAATTATTTATTTATAGAAGCCGTATTTAGTTAATGTTACCTAACTTTGCTCTGGACCTCTCTCTCAGCGTAACAAAAAAAAAAAAAAAAAAGTTGTATAACAATATTAATTTGTATACTAATATTAACTGAAAGACAATAATTATGAACACAAGAAAACAGATTCGAAGGGGGTCAGGAGGGTCTGGAGAAGGGGATTGGCTAAAGGCTATGTTTGAGGAATATACGTGTAAAACCTCATAGAATATCACCCAAAGTGTAAATTAACTGTTGGAAAAAAAACTAGATGATTTTGAAAAAAGGCTTGAACAAAAGATAGATAAGATAAATGAAAAGTTGGGAGAAGAAATTAAAAAACTCAGTGACAGGGTGGATATGTTGGAAATTGAGAAGGAAAATGAATGAGATAAATTGGCATTATTAGAATTAAGGGAAAAGGAATATTGCTTGAGATTTAGAGGTATACCTGAAGGGAAAGAAGAAGAAATGGAGGATAAGATCATTCAAACTCTGGCTACTTTAATAGACTGGGAGGAAGAAAAGATGGTGAAAGAAATAGAAAAGATATTTAGAATAAACTCAAAATATGCCAAAAATCATAATAAACCAAGGGATGTGTTAATAGAATTTCCGGAAAAAAAAAACACAAGAGATATGATACCGCAAATACATTTTGAGAATAGAATTATTATTGGAGGAAAAGATAATTGTATTAAAGGAAATCCCTATAAGGATTTTAAAAAAGAGAAAGGAATACATATTTTTGACTGATGTATTGAAAAGAAATAAAATACCCTATAGGTGGGAAAGATTGGAAGGAGTGAGTTTCACATTTCAATATAAAATATATAAATTAACATCAATCCCAAAGGCAAAAGACTTCTTCGGGAGGTTTGGAAAAGATTTAGAAATAAATAGGAATAAGAACGGGAGAAAAGAAGAAGATAAGGTAATACAGAGAGAAGAAGGAACCTTAACATCTAAGGAATATTACTTGAGCATGCATGATATGGAGCTTAAATGTCTCACTTGGAGTATAAACGCCCCTCAAAAAAGAAAAAAAAAATTTCATTATCTGATTAAATTAAGGCAAGATGTAATCTCTATCCAAGAAACACATATTTAAAAAAAGGATGTGAAATACCTGGTAAATAAAAATCTAGGAAAAGAATTTGTGTCAGCAAATAAAAAGAAAATAAATGGAATTGCAATTTATGTTAAACCATATTTGAATCCCAACTTATTATTAGATGAACATGGCAGATATGTTGTTATTGAAATAGAAATACAAGGAGTTAAAATAATTATAGTGGGAGTGTATGCCCCAAATGAGGATAAAGGCAACTTTTATAAGAAACTGTTAGGTTAATAGTAGCTTTCCCGCATTTGAGCTGGTGTATGATGGTGTGACTCGAATGAAGTAGTTACACCGTTAATAGATAGAAAATCAGAAAAGCAAATTAAATATAAACAAGGACAACTACCAAAATCATTTTTTGAATTAATGGAAAATCTATCACTTGTAGACTCTGGGAGACATAAAAATGGACTTGCTAAAGAATACTTTTTATTCAGATAGATTTAAATCATTTTCTAGAATCAATATGATCTGGATCTCAAGAGTTTTGGCAAACAGAATTTCTAAGGTAGATATATTACCAAAGACGTTTTCAGATCACAACCTGGTTAGTATACTAATAAGAAAAAATATTAGAAGATGGAGATGGAGATTGAATGAGAGTATTCTTAAAAAAGAGGAAGTATTAGAGGATTGTAAAAAAAAAAATTAAAGGATTTTTTTGAATTAAACTTAAATAATGAAGTAAATGCTGGAACGGTGTGGGATACCAGTAAAGCTTATATGAGAGGACTTTTTATGTAACATGACCAGGTAATAAAGAAATAATTAGACCAAAAGAATTATAAGATTGTAAATGAAACAACATGTTCCGAAAACCAAAAAAAATCCGAAAAAAATGTATGAACAATGATCATCTTCTTACGAAAATATATAAAATACTACTACAAATAAAACAGGAAGACGAACAAATTAAAGACTGCATGACTATGTGGGCAAAGA